TACTAGTATATACTAGTGTATAATACACTAATATTATACTAGTATATAATTTGTATAATACACTAATATTATGTAATAATGTTCTACAAATGTATGAATATATATACAGTATTTATACTAATTTCAAGAGATCTTTTTCTGAATAAGAGATTTATAAAAAAAAAAACAGTACTCTCACTTTTCAATTAAGAAAGAAACTGTTCAGATTGTCTAAGATTGCAAATATAAAAATAAATAATAAAATTTTGTATAATTGATAGTTCTACGAATATTATACGGATACGAAGAAATTCGCTGTTCATGATACGAACGAAGAAGATCCTTTGAGTCGAAGGCAAAATAACGTTTTATCAGTTGCACGTCTGAGTTTGATGCAAGGAGTAATTATGGGGCACCGACCTTCTCTTCTTGTGGTTTCGGGTTTCCGAGAACAAATTTCGGGGAAAAAAGAAACACGGTCTGGATGGTCGCGTCGATAAATGCAGTAAATTGCACAGGGAGGAGGGCACCTGCAGTTGATTGCTTTCGGTTCACCGTCGTAAACCAATGCGGCAAAAAAATTTATAAAGATCTGCTGCTGCAAGCTTGAAACAAGTATTTGATATCAAGTTCGCATACAAACGAGGAATGATCAGCTTGAAATGGGAAATATAAAAATATAAAAATTCTCTAAAAAAAAAAAAGAGCATTTATTCTTTAGAATTATCTAAAGATAGCGAACAAATTACAATGTTCATAATATTTTAATATATGTTTCACAAGGAAATAGTAAAAGTCACAATTATGTCCAAACAGATAGAAGTTTATCTTTATTTAATAATATTATTTATTAGAATTTTTAAAAATACAAACGAAGTCGTGAGAGGATTGTTAACGAAATGATTGAACGTTGGTTACAAATGTACTAACAGTGATTCTTGCATCGAGACGACAGATAGTTCGGTGCCTGCAGCGTAATCATGTGGAAAAAAAATACGACAAGACTTACTTGCCTGTGATAAATTGTAATTCTGCAGACGTTTAAGCAAGCAACTCGAGTTAGCGAGTGAAGCTTCACCTTGTAACATGACCATTCGCTCGAGGAATTTAAGCTTTTTATTTTTTTTTTTTTTTACAAGTGTCCAATAAATATGGTTACAGTACCTTAAAGAACGATTAATCAGACGTCGACAAGGGTTAATTTTGAAAATGTATTGATAGCCATATAATGTTAATAAAAATCACGCTTTCCGTTTCAATAGTTGTATTTTATGACATATATAAATCTATATATTTCTTTTTGGAATTACATAAATACAGAAGAGTGTTCAAAAATAGTATTTTTTTTCTTCTGTATTTCACCATTCTGTAAAACAAGAATCTCAAAAGATTGTAATTAAAATTCATTTATTTTAATGATACCAAGTAGAAATATCAAATTTTTTAACATTAACATAACAGTCTTGCATCTTTGCCACGCAAAATATTTCACTTTTAAATGTTCAAAAACGTTTTTTTCGAAACTGACATTTGCCACTGAAGCCTTTGTTACTATTATTAATTGTAAGACATTTCGACAAAGTATTCTTGGTTTTGAAATATGTACGTGAAAAGAACATCCTTTGTCATTTCGTAATTTACAGGAGTATGCAGGTAGCAAACTTTGTAGCATGCATTCATGACCACCGGAATACTTAAAATGTGCCAGGTATTATATTTCTCACAGACCTCAAGAAGCAAGTGAAACTACTATAGCATATTCAAACCTTTTTCTTTTTTTTTTTTTTTTCTTTTTTTTTTTTTCTTTTTTTTTTTTTTTTGGAAATTCGCTTCGGTTAGTGATGTCTGTTTGAAATGAATTGACTGATTGTGAGCGGTGTCGCACGCTTGTATTTGTATCGAACTGATTGCGAGGTTTTAGCAGTAGAACTGCAGATAGGAGGTTGTATTAAACGACAGTCGAGTCAACTTTCGACTAGTTTTGGTTTTCAAGAGTAATTTCTATCATTGAAAATCAAATTTTAGCCACGGAATGTGAATTTGTTTAGCATAGAAATATGACTCGAGTTCTACTTCAACCCCTTGCGCTGGCAACTGATTGGCGGACCATAACGAGTGACCATATACCGTATACAATAATTCGTCGCTTTCTTTTTAAACTCGTCGGTATGATATCGTCTGGATAGAAATTATTAAGAAGTAATAGACTCACCATTTGTTTTTCTTGGGCTATACTACAAATATACTATGCTATAAAAATATTAATTAAAAAAATATATACTATAAATATACTTAAAACTGAGGAAATATTGCAGTTTTGGGACAAAACGTGGCACGTCATTCCCAGCGCAAGGGGTTAAACTTATATAAAAAATAATAAACAAACTCAACAAAATTGTGAATCAAATATAATGAACGGAATTGACGGATCAAAAATTATATCCGTAAAGATTGCAATTTTCCACTCTGGTAGTTCTAGTGCTAAGCATAATATTATAGCAGTGCATTGTTAACTAGCCAGTGATAAAACAATGAAATAAATGCAGATAGTATTCAACAAACTCAAGAGTTATCAGAAATTTTAGACAGGCCAGTTAACAAAACACTACTGTTCATAATATATGGTGGAGGCAACCCCCATAATCGCTTTGCGCAGTCAATTTATTTCGAGCAACAAGCTGTACTCTGCGTACAACGCAATTACCAATTTACCAATTTAACGTAAACGTGGAACGAATTCTTTCTTTCTTTTTCTTTTTTTTTTTTTTTTTTTTTTTTTTTTTTTTTAACGGCTTAATCTGTTATACTATAGTTTTTCACGCCTCTCGGTCGTGACTCGTTCTTGGTATCGTGACTTCTTTTCGAGACAAATTATTTTTAGCTTTCGAGTAATATATCACTTTTAATTTTTGTCTGTTTCTTTTTCGTTTATTCGTTCTCGTTGATTTTCTTGATATTTGCTGCTCCGACAGATATATATATATATATCGATATAACTCGCACTGTATTCGAGCTACCTTGAAAATACGTATGTGTCTGTGTGTCGCAGGCTCTTCTCGATATTAACCCTCTATAACATCTCGACATTTGTCTGTAATGTATTTGTAAAATTTTATTTTTAATATCAAAGTATATACATATATATATATATATATATATATACATGTATACGTACTTTGATGTTAGTGTATTTCATACCAGATAATCAATTTATTTATTATATAACGATTAAATGATTAATCTATCGTACAGTGATTTATTTATAATGAATTCGATTATTTATAATTCTCTGGTGGAGTATAATTTTCACAGGAGGGCACTTAGAATTTTATAAATTGAAGGTGCAGTGTAAGATCAGATGTTAGATTTTGAAAGATTAATAACACATATTTTATCATTATCCATTATACCCTGTCATTCTAAAATTTTTCCATCATTCGTTTATTCAATTGGATCCAAAATTTTACCAGAGAATTATTGATTGCCAAATTGAATTTCAAAATTTAATCGAACTATCGATCTTTCTCTCTCGTAAGCGAACGAAATTTTGGTTATAGAGGGTTACACAACATACGCATCACGTGTGTCGATTTCCGCTTGAAATTTTCAACTTGAAAATTAGCGCACGATTCGCCGAATTTTTCACGCGTTCCTTTGAAACATCGCGGTTCGCGATTACTTTCTTCACGGTGAAGAATTGTCCATCAGATCTTTTTTTTTTTTTTTTATTATTGTGGAGCTAGCGAGACACGAAGGGACAATTGTTACTATTGTCATTATTATTTTCTTTTTTATTTTCTGTGACTAATCCATGGCTTTTACCAAGTCGTCCTCTTGAATTGTTCGCAAGCAGCTTTTAGGAGAATCAAACGATTTCGTAAGTGTGTAAAAAAAAAAAAAAAAAAAAAAAGAAAAAGACATGTTCAAGTAGATGACACGACACTCATTCCTACACGTTGTTCCTTTCTTAATTGACGCGGTGGTCGCGGTTGATTACGCAGATTTCCTTTTTTGGGGGGGGAAAATCAGCTTGATTTACATTACTTATCGACTCACGGTGAGTAATCACGCACGATTCCGTTAATAAGGAATTTTGAAATGATAAAGAAAGTTGTCTTTTTAATTTTTTTGTAAAAGATACATGTAGCAAGAAATGTGAGAACTATATTTCTACAAGTAATTCTTTTTTTTTTTTGTCATTGATTTATACAGTAAGTTTTTAAGACCTGAAAACGAAATTGAATCAATCAAGCGACGTATTACGTGCTTACTTTTTTATGAAAAATTTCGACGCGATTATTAATGCAAATCAAGTCGACAATTACGCAGTTGGCGTCCTTTAGAATCTCATTTGGCACAATTGGATTTAAGTTTATTCTTTTTTTTTCCTTTTTTTTTTATGTAGGAATCAAAAGAAATTTCAGAAAACTTAATGAGATATGATATTTCGTAAAACGCAAATCTCGAAAATTTCTTCTTTTTTTTTTTTTAACGAAAAATACAGGGTCTGTTGCGAAATTAGAATTATAATTTTTATACACGGTGACACACACTCTGCTTGCGACAAGTAATCTGTTTCTCGTCGATTTTTCAAGCGATCGATTTGAGAATTGTTTTCAATCACGTTAAAACCTTGTTCTTTTATTTTTATCTCACTGTGATGTTGTTTCGAGATATTATTAACAAAGAGAATTATTTTTTTTTGAAACGAAATCGTTTCCTAGAGAGAGATTTGTAATTGTCTGTTCAATTTTTTTTTTTTTTTTTCTTTACTATAAGTCACACGTTGTTAATGATTTTTAAATTCTTCATTACGACACGTTGCTTGGATTTCACGCGTGTGGCGTTCATCACTCGTGAAACATACTTGAGAACCGTAATTTTTCTTTCCATTGTGTTTTAACCTTGGTACTCTCTGTTCTTCACTCCATTGCTCTGTAATTTCGTTTGCCTTTGCTTGCTTTATTTCACACATACGTAGTACTAGTGTAACAATACTCTTGGTTTTCTCTTATGTTCGTACCCGTTCTTCTTCGCACGGACGAATTCCAGATACTCACGTTGCTGTTCAAAGTGTAAGGAACTCTGAGATCGAGAGATCCCATGATTCGTTAAAAACTCGGTTATTTACAGATACAGAAACATTAAAAATTAGAAAATTCAAAGATTTAAAGATTAAAGAATCGAAAATTCAAATTCGAAGGCTCGAAGGTTTAAAAATTCAAAGATTCAGAGAAATAAACAATAATTCGAAAATAGACTTCGAGGAATTCGAAAAATTCAGAGATTCGAAGATTGAATAACTCGACTATTCAAATATTCAGCATTCAAAGATTCAGGGACACAAACTTTTTAATAATTCGAAAATAGACTTCGAGAAATTCATGATTCCACGACTCAGAGATTAAAAAATTCGATAATTCTGAAATTCAAAGACTGAATAACTCGACTATTCAAATATTCAGCATTCAAAAATTCAAAGATTCGGTGACACAAAGATTTAATAACTCAAAAATAGGCTTCGGAGATTTCATGATTCCACAGCTCAGAGATTAAAAAATTTGATAGTTCAGAAATTCAAAGACTGAATAACTCGACTATTCAAATATTCAGCATTCAAAGATTCAGAGACATAAACTTTTTAATAATAATTCGAAAATAGACTTCGAGAAATTCATGATTCCACGACTCAGAGAATAAAAAATTCGATAGTTCAGAAATTCAAAGACAGAATAACTCGACTATTCAAATATTCGGCGACACAAAGATTTAATAATTCAAAAATAGGCTTCGGAGATTTCATGATTCCACAGCTCAGAGATTAAAAAATTTGATAGTTCAGAAATTCAAAGACTGAATAACTCGACTATTCAAATATTCAGCATTCAAAGATTCAGAGACATAAACTTTTTAATAATAATTCGAAAATAGACTTGGAGAAATTCATGATTCCACGACTCAGAGATTAAAAAATTCGATAGTTCAGAAATTCAAAGACTGAATAACTCGACTATTCAAATATTCGGCATTCAAAAATTCAAAGATTCGGTGATACAAAGATTTAATAACTCAAAAATAGGCTTCGGAGATTTCATGATTCCACAGCTCAGAGATTAAAAAATTCTACAGTTTGGAAATCAAAGACTCGAAGGTTCAAATACTGAATAACTCGACTATTCAAATATTCAGCATTCAAAGATTCAGGGACACAAACTTTTTAATAATTCGAAAATAGACTTGGAGAAATTCATGATTCCACGACTCAGAGATTAAAATATTCGATAGTTCAGAGACTCAAAGCTTCGAATGTTCAAATATCGAATAACTCAACCACTCAAATATTCGTTACTTTTCACACATACACACATACATACACAAGATAAAAAGAAATTCCAAAAAAAAAAGATAAGACAAGAGTATCTCCCATTGGTCCGTGCGAACAGTCGCGCGCACTAACACATATATATACACACGGTTGGGTGACGGTGATGTGGATTTTGCTACCTGTGTGTCGGTGCATGGGGGTGGTGGTGGTGGTGGTGGTGAAATTCTGGCGCGTGTCGCTTTGCGTGCACCGGCTGTGAAACTGTCGTCCTCTGCGCCTTCCTACCCGCTCGAACCCTGGCAGGTGGATCATCCTGCTTAACGCGCAACCCGGTCACCGGAGACGGAGTTGACGTGACGCCTGTGAGGCGCAGCGCACGAAGGTGTCGAGGTAACGTTTACCCACTCTTCTTTTGTTTTTTATATTCCCCCCCCCCCATCTCCCCCTTTTTTTTATTGTTCAAGACAATAGACATGTCAACCATGTCTTTCACCTTCTTTCATCTTTCACGTATAAGTATCACACATATATATATATATATATATTTTGTTATTGCTTTCACTCGCCCCTAGATCGGTTCGTTTCATTCTCATGTTCTCGAGAAACCTCGAGACATAGTGTGAGAAGTATCGCGTGATTAGCTTTCCATCGAGCAGGTAACGACGGAAGAAAAAGACGCTGCAGTACTGTACAAAACTGTCGAGGGATCACCGATCTTTGGAGAGTTTTTTTTTTTTCGAGAGTCGAGTGCCAACTGTTAACAAATGAAATTTTTCTTCAATTTTTTGGGAATTCGGGGATTTGGGGATTTAGGAGTTTGAGAATTCGAGGATCTGGAAGCTTTAAGCATCTTGAACGTTTAATTTTTAGAGAATTTAGAGAATTCAGAGATTTTGAAATCTGGAAATTTGGGTATTTTGGGATTTAGGAGTTTGAGAATTTGGAGATCTGGCAATTTAGAAATTTTGAGCATTTTGAACATTTAATTTTTAGGGAATTTAGAGAATTCGGGGATTTGGAAATTTAGAAAGTTAAGAATTTAAGATTTTAGAAATTCAAGAATTTGGGAATCCAGGGTTTTAGAAATCCAGGAATTTGGGAATCTAGAATTTTAAAAATCTAGGGATTTAGGAATCTAGGATTTTAGAAATCCAGGAATTAGGATTCTAGGAATCTAGAAATCTAGGACTATAGAAATCCAGGGATTTAGGAATCTAGTACTTTCTAAATTCGAAAATTTGCTATTCTAGGAATTTAGAAATCTAGGGATTTGGGAAATTAGGATTTTAGAAATCCAGGAATTCAGGATTCTAGAAATCTAGGAATCTAGGACTATAAAAATCCAGGGATTTGGAAATCTAGTACTTTTTAAATTCGAAAATTTGATATTCCAGGAATTTAGAAATCTAGGAATTTGGGAAATTAGGATTTTCGATATCCAGGAATTCAGGATTCTAGAAATTTAGGAATCTAGGACTATAAAAATCCAGGGATTTGGGAATCTAGTAGTTTCTAAATTCGGAAATTTGATATTCTAGGAATTTAAAAATCTAGGGATTTTGGAAATTAGGATTTTAGAAATCCAGGAATTCAGGATTCTAAAAATCTAGGAATCTAGAACTACAGAAATCCAGGGATTTGGGAATCTAGGACATTAGAAATCCAGGAAATTGGTATTCTAAAAAAAATTGGAAATCCAGGATTTTAGAAATCTTTTAGAAGAAATTTAGTAATTTGAAAATTCAGGAATTTGAGAATTCAGTTACAACATGAATGGCATCGGTTCAACGTTTTACCTCCAATAGTTTACTCCCAGGCGATGAATACAAAGTGCAGGATAATGGCTTTTAGTATTGTCAAGGGTTGAATGGTCCAACCCCTAATCCGTCAAATAAAATACGGCGTATTTGTGTGTTCAACTGTGTGAGCGACTGGGGTCGACTTTATTTGGATTAGAATTACAGAAGGCTTTTCTATGAATACTTGATTGAACCCCCAGCGGTCTGAGGATTTTATTATGTTGTCTGGGAGAATCAGTACGTTTCGACTGCTCAGCGATGAATCAGAAATATCATGACTCACTCCGTGAATGATTAATAATTAAGTATTAGCGTGAAATAGAACATTTTGTCGATCAGTTCTTTTCACACGAGTTATCCTTTGCCAATTTTGTACAGTGCTGAGAGAGAGAGAGAGAGAAAAAAAAGAAGGGAGGAGATATAAAATTTGATTTTCTGTTTTTACGAGTTGATGTTTCAGCCTTCACCTTTACAGTTTTTTCCCCTTTTTTTTTACTTTATCGTTTCTTTTCCTTATTGTAGCATTGGTCGACCAATAATTTCTGTGTATTTCTTGCTGCCCGACGAAGAGGATTGGATTTATTACTGTTTCTTTATGTGTTTCTTTTCTTGTGTATTACGTGTTATTTAGCATTAGTTTCAGAATAACAATCGGAGTAATCGGGCTTAATCTTAGCGCTAGTGTTTCATTTTTTCTAACTTTTGTTACCCCCTAGAAAGAAGAACGTTTAAAAATTCCCATGATTCACCTTGTCCCCATAGACGGAAGGCAATTGATGGTTTGAAACAAAGTTACGAAATTTTTTTTGATTTCCAACGAGACTGAGATACTCGCTGATTAATTTCGAAATTCTTTCGAGAATGATACTTTTATCACATTATCGATTGCCGTCCGAAATTTACAGAATCATCCACTGCTCTAATTTGTACGATAATCTTATAGATATATACAATCCTCGTAATTTTACCGCGGATGTTTATGCATTTTCAGAAGTTTTAGGAATTTAACAACTTCAGAATCGGGGAATTGGCGAATTCAGAAGTTTGGAAATTTTTGAATTTGGGAATTTTGAGAGTCCAGGAATTTAACTTGGACGAATTTAAAAGTTCCCTCGAACGCAATTAAGGGAACGAAACGCAGATGGAAACCATACCAAAATAAATAAATAAATTAAATTAATACTTTCGACAAATATTATATCTCTATTATTATATTATTATATTTTATATTATTACACATCATTATATTTTCTACGAATTTCTGCATTCTCAAATTCTCCCCTGAAGGATGCATAAACGTCCGCAATCTATTTACGTCTGAGATTTGCTCGAGTTCGATCTAAAAGCTACATACCTCGCGAACACTTTTCCCGGCGGGACGTTTGAAATGAAATATATCATTGTAGAAATTTGACAAATAATCGAACAGCCGTCAACGTGGCTGATTCCAGACTTTCGTTTCTTACAATGTCGAACACAAAATGAATATTAATTTCTATTTGGACACAAAGATAACTGTACAAGTCCATCGTGATTTACATTAGTGTTCGTTTGTATATTCATATTAATATTTTTAATACTAACATTCATACCAATATTTTTAATAATTATATCAATAACGAAAATAATAAACGCCTGTCGTGAAAGTGTCAAGGAGGAGAGAACAATCGAGAAAAATTCTCCGATTAGAAGTAGAACACAGAACTCGAGCAATTCTCCGAGACCGAAGTTGTTTCCCATAGGTCGATTTTACACTCACGTACAAAATAGTCCGTAGTATCGGTACGGTAAGTTCACGCGCAGCAGACGATTACAAGTTCCTCGTCTCGCGCGCAGTCCTTAACTTGGCTCTCACGAATATTTTATGTCCGATCGTTCCTTTTTATCGGTGCATCGGAACCGACCGGTTGTACCTTTTCACGCGTTTTTACGCTTAATCGCCTGTCGAGTGAATTAACCGCGTGCCTCTGTCACCCTTTCACGGCCGTGCAAGAGAAAAATCACGAGAGAATCGGTATGTGGATTTCGCATTTTTGCGAGGTCTTGATATATATCTCTCCACGATAGTGTTGGTAGTGGTCACACTACCTGTGACAGGATATCATCAGAAATCTCGCCGTGTAGGAACTACACGGAGCAAGTAAGAATGCGTGATAATCGTCGAGATGAGATTTGTTAACACGCCTCTCTTTTTCCTCCCGATCCGTTTCGTTTCAAACGGTGGTTTCTTGCACGCCTGTGACGATCGCGATTGCATGCGAGTTCGAAATCGATTTTCCTCGAATTAACGAAGAAATAGGCGGAGAAGAGATTAGAAGTTTTTAGGCGGTTTTTTTTTTTGTTTAAGATTTTTGTAGTTGATTGAACGTCCGAGGTGTGAAACACGTAGTCTGTGACTGGAATTTATCAATGGTGTAAGAAGTGTAATGTATAATACATAGATGTAGAAGAGGAGGATTTTTTTGTTTTTCTTCGTTAGAATTTAGAATATGACAGATAGTGTGCAATCTCTTTTCAAAGGTGTTGTTTGAATTTGTTATAGTTTGATGTATATATAACTATAACTTCCGATTGAATTGAGTTAGACGAAGTCAAGTTAGAAACTGTTCGAGTCTTCATAATAGTGAAACATTAGAGAAACAGAGGGTGAATCACAGGTATCATCGAAACGAACGTTTGGACAAATCAATCGATCCCAATAGAAAATAAACGAACAAAAATAAAAATAAATGAATACGTCAGAATGTGCCAGGTACGAAAATTTGCTTTATAAATTTCTAACAAAATTTTACAAAAATTTACAAAGTAAGGAATGAAATGAAGTTCACAGGAGCAAAGGCAACTTTCAATCAATTGTTTCGTGATTCACCCATTGTACAGTTCCGTCGATCTTTGATCTCGAATCGATTCGTTCCAATAAGAGCAGACGAGCCGAAGAAGTGATACAGACACGTTATTCTTTTATAAAAAAAAAAAAAGAGATAGACACGTATAGAGGATCAACCGTAAAACAATCGAAATAATTGAATCCGTAGAAATTTTATAGATTTATCTTCTATTCATCGCACTTCAAGTTTCCCGACACTTGGGCTACTTGTTCGTCGATCATTTTCACTTGTCTTTAAATTAATAAAATATTTCGTCTCCCCGAAAGTTTGCATAAATTTCGACTATTAAAATCCTTCTCTGCGTGTTGAAGAATTCATCCTCGCTACGTCTTGTATCACTTCTCTCCTCTTATCTCTGAATTAAACGAAACATCTCGTATGTAATAATGGAGAGGCACGGGCTGTCTCGATTTCCGCAACGTTTCACTGATCGAGATCAATGTTCTTCGCAGATGGTAACCCGGTAACCGGAACTGGCTACGCAGAGTCGCAGAACAACGGGCCTGCGGTGCAAAACGGAACGTCCAGCTCGAATTCCAGCGAGAAGTCGAACGACACGTCGCCGGCAGCGAAGGTTCCGGCACGCACACGCGTGCCACCCGGTGGATACTCATCTGGACTATGGTAAAAACGCGGCCTCGCGGACGAAGCCGCCGATCGGCCATCCTCCTTTCGATCGGAAAAACCCCCTTCCAGCACCGGCAATTTCGGAGGAAAACCGAGAGCTCTCCGAAAACTCGATTCCAGTAGTAGAAAAAAAAAAGAAAAAAAGAAAAAGAAAAAAAAAAGAAAGACTCACACTGTGGGAGCGATTGGTTCCTCGTTCTCGACGAAGAGAAACAGAAAAAAAAAAAAAAAAAAAAAAAAAAAGGGAAGGCCAGTTTAAGTCTAACGCGAGTTTCTTATGAATTTGATTTGAAAAGATCAACTGCATTCGTTTTTCTTGATTATATATATATATCTCTTTCTAGGCATCTTTTTATTCCTCCTTTTTTCTTTTATTTTAATGTTATAACTATTCTCTGCTAGAGTTCAGATTCGTTTGAAAGTTGATTTTTAGTTTTTTTCTATCATTCGTTGTATAAAATGAATTTTCGTATCACGTAGAAAGGATCGATGATAACATTCGTTTCCCGTTTCTTTACTTCTTTAATACTGGGTGGCGAGAAATCAAAAAAAAACCGAGCACCAGGAACCACGCTCCCTTGAATTCGATAGACTGTTGTCGGTTGGTCTTTTTTCTTCGGAAAAAAAAAAAAAAAAAAAAAAAAAAAAAATTCCGATTGAATATAGCAAAAATTAAACGAAGAGAAGAAAAAAGAAAATGAACGTCCAGAAAGTAGGAAAAAGATAGTCCTTGATTCAAGAATATAATAATGAATTATTATAAAAATAAAAATAAAATAAAAAAAAAGAAAACCTAGAAAATGTTTGACGGAACCTCGGAATTGTATATTAGAAGTAGGCATATGTTACTCGAAAGATGAAAAAAAGAAAGGTAATAATATTAATAATAATAATAATAAATAATATTAATATTAATAATAATAATAAAAGTACATCATATGTGTAACCCATTAAAAAAGAAAACAAGGTCAAGTGCTTTCTTAATTTCCGTGCCTTTTTAATAAGCGTATCTAGTTTTTTCTTCTGCATGAATTAATAAATACGCCATTCGCGTAACTTTCTATAGAGAGCACAGTTCCTTTTTGTTTTTAAGTTTCTTTGTTCATTCGAATACAAAAACAGAAAAAAGAAGAAAAAAAAAAGAGGTGAAAAAGGAGAGAAAATTTTGCACATCGAGGCATAAATATCTATTCATATTTAAAATGTTGGAGAAGATTGCAATTTTACTAATCATACCGTAGTAACCTACTATACATGCAGATACTCCTTAAACGGTCAGGATTTACATGGATCCTATTTATCGCTGTATATCACTTACGATCCTCTTAACGCAGAGACACTACGTAACTCTTATCATACGTAACCTAACCAATAATCATTCATCTTTTTTTATAGTCGTTCACTATTTGCTTCTTCCTTGTTTCACGATAACACATAAGGAATTGTATTTATTATTTCACAGTAAGATACTCGTGCACACGATTCCTCTTACACTTGAAATAAAAAAATTGAGAAAAGGTGAGAGAAAAAGAGAGAGAGAGAAGAAATGTTTCTTCATCGTTTTGGTGTGAGTAAGAAAATTGTTTGTATTTCATCGTATTCTCGTCTCATAAGTAGCCCTTTTGTACTCTGGCATTGATTAATAAAATTTTGTAAGCAACAATCGTTGTTCCTTTTATCCATCATTCCGTCCACAGCTTACAAATGATGTTGACTATCAAGTTGACGTTTCATTCCAGTAATTTTATTGTCAAAATATACACGAATATCAAATGATATCGAGCTTCAGCGAAATAAATTTATAAAATATTAAAAAATACGTAATACTGTGAAAGTGTAATTACATGCTAAATGTTCCTATAAATATTCGTTATCGAACGATTTGGTTTTTACATCGCAGCGATCAGATCCCTTATAGCTGTTCCGTTCGCTTTGCACAGACTGGCGAAGACATGTTTTTGATTGGTCTCTTGTTCGAGTTTCTTCGAGATCTCATGCGCTCTGTTTGTAATTACAGGTGGGACACCAGCTAACCGAGCAGCATTGAAACCGTATGATTTTGGACAAGCTCCCTCGCTAAGTTTGTACAAAAATGTTACCGTCTCCTGAGATACTTCATCCTGTTCCTCCGTTTCTACCATACATGCCTGCAAAGGACAAGATAATATCGAAAGTACTTTTAAAAAATTTAGAGAGAAACCAAACAGAATCTTGAAAAATATAAAACTCATTTACGTACCATATGGGCTAAAGTAATTTCTTTGGTATTTTTATAATCTTCTACCAGAGAATGATAATGTGTAGAGAACAAGGTGCGACAATTCAATTTCAGAAGTGCATTTACAACTGAGGCGGCTATTGCCGTACCGTCATACGTCGACGTACCACGACCTATTAACAGCGAATATCATATTTACTGATGTATTGCATTGTAATTTTAATCGAACGTATAATTTTTACCCAATTCATCAAGCAGCACTAGCGAGTATGGTGTAGCGTGCTGCAATATCGCGGCAGTTTCGCTCAATTCTACCAAGAAAGTACTCTGACCAGCCAAAATATCGTCATTTGCTCCGAGCCTCGTGAAAATACGATCTACTAAAGTCAAACGACAGGAACTTGCAGGAACGTAACTTCCCTACCAGAGATACAAAAGTCAGTATTTTGTTTACCGTCTAAAATATTATATATTACTAAAAACGTACGATCTGTGTCATTATAGTAAGAAGAGCGACTTGACGCATCAATGTTGATTTACCACCCATATTTGGTCCAGTGAGAATCATGAAAGAGGCAGAACTATCGGTTCCTAGTAAAGTACTATTTGGTATAAATGTGTCCGAAAGAATACACGGATGCCGTCCTTCTCTAACATCAATAAATACCTGTCAAAAAAATGTTTTCTTAATAACTCTCAGCATATTTAAATATATGAATTAGAATATTAATTTATATGAAATATATAAATATATGAAACGATTAAATTACCCCTTCATCTGTACCGTCACAAATTTCTGGTATACACATATCTCCACTAAGAGCGTATTCAGTCAAAGAAATAAGAACATCCAAAACAGACAATTTATAAACTGCCATATTCCACATATCGTACTTCTCGCTGAATTTTGCGAATATTCTTCTGTTTAAATCCTTTAATACTCTGTTTTTATGTTCTTCGGCATTTGTTTGTCTACTTAGAAATTCCTAGAAAAATATTTAAACGTCTCCTTTTTTCTGTCACTTCCTCGAACGTATATTATACCATTATTGAAAAAAAAAAAAAAATAAAAACCTTGGTCTCGTTGGTATAATAGCGTTTGTATCCTTTTCTCTGCGACTGAAGCTCATAACCGATTCCAACTTTCTTTATCTGAGACTCTGGAATCTCAATCTGATATCGCTTTCTATCCGATCCGTGATACGTCACTTTTACACCGAAATGCTGTTTTTGCTTTTGAAGGTATGCTTCGGCATCTTTCTTTATATCATCAAGCTCCATTAAAACGGAATCGTACTCGTCATCGACACCTCTTTTTGGAACGATGCAGCCTACTTTCTTGGCTTCTTCGTGATCGAACGCGGTCTAAAATATGTTATTGCATATTTATATCTCACTTGATAATAAAAACTTACATTAATTACCTTGAAATAATCTAATGATTCTCTTAACGAAGGAAACTCGCCATCCGGCTCTACTTTAGTACATCGACTTACTAATGTACTGTTGAAATCTAGAAAATAAATGATATACTTTTCAGTGAATGTACTAATTTAAAATTGCAATTAAGTGGCATAATTACCTTCAAACAAAGCAACTATTTTTAAAACATCCTCGAAAGCACTCAGAGTAGTAGTGAAATCTAGAATTTTCTTCTTTGAATACGTTTGCCCTTCGAACATAATTGCTCTGCCATCAGGATGATTATTCATTTTTGCCGCATTCCCTTGAGCATGAATCCTAAAATTAAATTTTATATTTAAATATTTTTGTATATATGATCTTTTTGGCTACCAATAATGATTCGTACTCACTTGCTTAATAATCTTTCAAGATCAGGGAGTCCACTTAACATATTACGAGCACTTTGTACTATATCTGAATTATTCATTAATTCTTGTATAGCTTCTTGACGTTCGATTATAATGTTTTTACGACAAGATGGTCTACAAATCCATTCTCGCAACAATCTACAACCAAGTATATTTGATTAAAAAATAATATAAAATAATAATGTTATTGAATATATTAAACTATACCTCTTTCCAAATGCAGTACAGCAACGATCTAGCGTCTTCATAAGAGAACCTTCCCCGAAAATTCTCAAATTATTAATAGTGATAGCATCTAAAACCTAATAGTTATATATACATTAGATTATTTGTCTAATTTCATGCATGTAATTGAACGAATTTGTGATTACCATATTATTTGCAAATTTCAAGGTTTCATTTGAAAAATCTGGAGGAGTATACGTTTTGAAACGTGCTTGTGCCAGTAGTTGTTGTTCAAGCAGACATTCCTTGAGCAGGTGTATACATCCACCTAATGCATATACTGCTAACTCTTTATCGTCAGCGGGTGTTAAACCTAAACTGTCACCTAAAAAAAAAAAAAAGAAAAAGATATAAATGCCATTAAGTCCAATTTTTGTTAAGAAAACGTATTAAAGAGATATGTACATACTTTGATTAAGATATGGTTGTAAGCCTACAGGCCATTGAAACTCGGAATTTGGCTTTTTGAAATATTCTCCTTCATGAAGATTCTGCAAATTAGAAAAAAGAATATTTACAAACAAACCTTTACAAGGTTTCAAAATTACGAAATATTAAGTACAATTATGCTTACTTTCAACGTTGTTGTAGACGACCAAAATTGAGATTCACGTAGAAGCGGTTCTTTAATACACGCTGCTAAAGCATTGTTTAGAATTTTTAAAGTTCTTTGAGACAAATTACCTCGTTCATATACCACCTAAATATATTATAAATTTATTCATCTAATCTTAATTATAGTCCTGAAAAAAATACTTACATGGACTGGCGGATAATGAGCAAATAAAGTTAATAATCTAGAATTGCAGCGATCATCCTCGAATTGACAAAGATAAAAATCTCCTATTGTTGTGTCTAAGAAACACACTCCATAATGAGATATATTGGAACCAGATGGACATTTTTCAACCAGAGATAACAAATAATTGGAATTTGCCGTAGCTGGTTCTACATCCTGTGGAGTATATACCCTTGTACCTTTAGTACTTATTTGACAAATTTCTCTGTTAACTACTTTGTCAAACTTAGTAGGTCTAGCCACTGGAAACAGTAAATGAAACTGAATTGCGTCTGATTATTTTAAAAATATACAATATATTTTCTGGTATCATACTTTTGCTGCAACGTTGTGCCATCATCTCTGGATTTTCTGTTTGTTCTATTCTAGCCACTTTATAGCCTCTTTCTACGAGACTCGCTAAAAAACGACCATATCCAATTTCTGGAAACCCTGCATGCGCAAACTCTCCCTGCAAACACATTTATTCCAGAACTTTCAAATATTTTTAAACGCATAAATTAATATAAACAACTTACTCTCATATATGTAAGATTGAGCTCATTGACACTAATTACAGCATCCATGTGATATAATTCATAAAACTTTCCTACTTTAAAGAAAAGAATGCAATCAAAGTGTTTCTTTTTTATTTCCCACCATTGTCTCATAGCCTGGTGAAAAAAATAGTATAATATAACATATGTCGAATAATATCTATATCAACGAAATTTAAATTTCCATCTTACTGGAGTTTGTTGGTTCAAAAAATCCTGAGGAACATAAAGTGTTTTAGGATCATACTCTGGATCAGTTGGTGGTCTTCTATTAATATCTCGTATTTTATTTGGTTGAAGAAAATCATACTTCAAGTGTCGCCAAGATTCCACATTATTTGGACCTTGGGCTTGATTCTGTTGTTGCGATTTTGATTCCTTTTTATCCTAATTAAATATCAATTGATTAAACAGTAGTATTATAGTATATTACATACATACATATATATATAATGAGACAACTTATAGTTATAATCTTACTTCTTTGGGAATTTTCTTTATATCATTTTGTTTTCTTCCAGAAGTTTTATTCAACTTTATCTTCTTCTACAATTCAAATTAAATCAATTAGTATAAAAATATCGTGTATTTGCAATTGATCGTTTACCTCAGGAGTTTCTTCTTCACTAGCAGTTGGTGGTTCGCTTTCAGTACATCCTTCAGATCCTGTATCAGAATCTTCTGATTCATTCTCTGGATTTATATGAAAATAAAAATGAATATATATATATATATTCTCTTTTAAAAGACTTATGTATTAATTATGTATTAAGAAACAAACCAGGCTTAAATTCATCTCCAGAATCTTCTCCAGATTCTTCATCAGGAATAATTAATCTTCGTTTCTTTGGTCGTATTAGCTCGCTTTGTTCTTCTTCTTCTTTCTTTTCTTTGTCATCATCATCATCATCATCATCATCATCATCATCATCTTTAAAGACTCTCTTCCTATCTTTAACATCCTTGTTCTCCTTTCCTTTACTCGGAGTCTTTGCTATGTACAACATGAATGATAACGTATCATTTAAGCGACATTTATTCGATAGTTTAAGATATGCAACACATTTACTGTATCAAAGCAAAACGAAATATTTATATAGAATTATAAAACATACGATATTTTCATAAAATATTCTCTACTAAATTTCCAATTTTAATTTTACGTGACACAATAATACATGCGGCCCAGAGTCACACAAAGTATGTTTTCTATCGCATGTTCTATTGTTACATCGGATTAGTTATTCACCGTAGTTGTTTTATACCTTTGTTCCGTTGTTCCCTTGCTCTTTTCGGTGTGCTAGATTTTTCTTCGGACGAACGTTTATTATTCAATTGTTTAGGAGTTGTAGGAGTTTTAGGAGAAATAAAATAATTGTACAGCGTATTCACTTTAGACATAATGTTACAACAATCTAATAATCGTATGACAAATTTCTGTACTTTTTCTTTCGCCCGGATGCTCTTTGTTACCGTCAATGAGAGATCGAAATCCCGGCAAAACTTATACTTTTCGAAACTTGCTAAAATACGATTCTGCGTTCTTAAATGTCACTACATGGATCTAAAAAGATTAGAACCGTATTTTTCATTCTAGGGCATTTTAATTTATATAAAACGTGTATATTCTTTTGAAGCAATAATATTTAAATCAATATATATATATTTATCAATGATAATCGGTATTCATCGGTATCAATGATAAATTCGAATATTTCACTTTATTTTTACAATTTGTTTCATTAGGGAATTTTTTGGGCTTTTAGTTGTCATTTAGTCTCCTCAGTCAGCGAATCTCAATCTGAAGTACACGTGCTTCTTGGGGGGTTAGATTTTTGGGGATACATGCAATGCCGAGTAAATCGTCTGCAATCGTCTCATTAGTTCGTTTTCATTAAAGTTCTTATTAGATGAATTAAATAAGAAAAATATAATTTTATAAAATTGGATAACATAAATGTAATTTAAATATATAAAAAGTTTTTAATATACATAGTATATTATATATTATATGTTATTCCCATTGTTATATTACAGCTTTATATATCTGTCAAAGGATACGCCATTTTCATACATATATTCCAAGGGTACATAAAAGATGGAGAGTCGCTGCTCTTAATGATAACTCTACCTCAGGAAAACAATAATGGCGTATTCAGTGAACGTCTCTGTAGAAGCACCGATCGAGAATCAGATTCAAGAAATCACATACGATGGACAAGAAATTTACCAAGCGTACGTAGTTTGCTCTTCTAGTAATTAACAAAATTAAATAAAGGATTGGTTATAAATAGAATTGATAGTAAATGATTGTATTTCATTGTATGCTCTACCTAACCTCAGAGTTAAAATAACATATTATTCATAACATACATAACATTTTATAACATAACATACATTAAAGCAATTAATTGTTATTTTTCCAGACCTCTTACATTGTCTGAGAACTTGGCAAAAATCGCGCAAAAGATTGATTTTAGTAAAACCAATGGTGAAGACATTAAGAAGGAATCCGAAAGTGGAGAAAAGGGTGAAGAAGATACAAAAGACTCGGCTTCTTTTCAATCATCTTTATGGCCATGGGATAGCGTCAGAAATAAATTAAGGTTGCATATTGTTGAATATTTTTTTAAATGTTCTTTTGTCAGTATGAAAGACTGTGATAAATTTATTTACAGAAATGCATTGACAGAGGTATGTGTGCTAGCTGATGTTCTTGCAATAGCAAAGGAAAAACATTATATGGTTCTTGATCCTGTGCCACAAGAACCAGCAGAAGTGAAGCCTATGATTCAAGTATATGCTAGAAAGAAAGCATTGGCTGGAGCTGCATCTGTTATTATGATGGGTGCTGATAGATTAAAGAACTGTCAGAATGAACTAGCTAGAAATAGATCAACCCCAGACTTTCATATTGAGTTATTGAGATTGAGACAAAATTGGCGTTTGAAGAAAGTTTCCAATTCAATCATTGGTGATCTTAGTTATAGAACAGGTATAGTTATTTTTTGTGTATATAAATTATCATTTGAAAATTCACTGTATTATATTAATGATATGAATATTTATAGCTGGATCTAAATTCCCTCAGACTGGGATGTTCGAAGTTACAAAAGCAGAAGAAGAAGAAAAGAGTAGTACAAGTCCTCCTGCATCTCCAAGTGCTGGTAATAATGTGTCAGGTCAGACTCATCCTCCAAATTCCAAGGCTTCTGCTTTGAGAGTTACTATCCCCAGCGAATTACAAGGTGTTGCTTATATAGAAGTATTATGCCAAAAAGGTAAGTGCGTGTATGTCGCAACAGATAATATATATTTATTAGTTTAGATATGACATATATTCATTAATGTATTTATATACTATGTATTATATCAATGTATTATATCAATGTGGAAAATTTTGGTTTCTGTTTATAGATCAAGAAGATTTATGCAGTGCAAATATTAGTTTACTTAATAATAGTGCACACAGTTCCAACGCAGACATGCATTGGCAGCAGAAATTGGAGGCTGCACAAAATGTTCTTTTTTGTAAAGAATTGTTCAGTCAATTAGCGAGAGAAGCAGTACATTTACGTGCGCCTATACCTCACATGGTTGTTGGCAATCAAATTATGGCAACAGTAATTTGTTTCTTCTTTTGATCATCGTATATGATTGTGCATTTATTTACAGTACATTAAGTAAGATTTTACAACTTTAGGTATTGCCTGGAATTCAGTTAATCATAGGACTCTGTCACAGTACGGGGAATGACAAAAAACCAGCCGCTCCTCCTCCTCATAAAAGCGATCATGATCATGTTTTAGAACATTCTTTGCATCAGCTTTTACGCGAAGTTCATCACAAAAATACGCATCATCCGTTTCCACATCCTTCTTCAGGACCTCTTGGACCCAGTAAAAGAAGGTGTTTAGCTGGTCCAACAGCCGCAGATAGATATGAACTTTTAGAAATGACAAAAAGTCAAACTCTCTTAGAACAAATTATTCAACAAGCTCAACACTATTTCATGCGTTTACGCACTGAATATGTCTTAGATACAATAGCAAAAGAAGTAAAAGATCCTTTGATTGTTTCTCATTGGAACGCGTTAAACTCTCCTACTCAATCCTGTGTAAAAATTAATATTTTAACACATGGATACGATACAGTATGTCGAACGTCGCTTGTTGTTCATATAGGAGAAAAGTCTTTGAAATGTGTCTGTCGGGATGGTAGAGTGATGCATATGAGTTATGAACCTCAAGAATTACGGGACCTGATATTTTGTCAGGTAACTGCATTTTGTCTTAATCTTTATTGAATATATGTATAATTGCTTTTTATATTATTGTAGATTTATCAGCACCAAATAACAGCAGTACAAGCATTAGCTAAATGTATGGGATGGCAATTTCTAGCCAATAGTTCGCATCTTGGTTTAGGCGCAGTGGAACCTTTAGGAAATGCTAGCAGTTGTATTTTAGCTTCACCAATAGGCGATAGGTATTTATTAATTTCTTTCTGTCTTAATAGAAAGCCATGTATATGTTATATCTAAAATAACTATTGGGATTTTAGGATGATAGCTGTTAGATGTGAACCACAAACGGGAGTACAAGTTGCGATAGCTCATTCCCCTAGGAAAGATTTTTTTCCTGGACAATTAGTAAGAGAAAGAAAGTGGGAAAATTTGGGTGGTTCTTTCAAAGAAGTTCGGTGGGACAAAATGGAGGGGAAGAATTTTTTAAACAAAATGGAATTACTTATGGCTTCTTTAACAAGCTCGTAAATCAATCGACGACTGATTAGGAATTCAATTGTTCCACAGGGTGAAAAAACGTGATCATACATTCAGATTTTATCTTGTATCTGATACACCATACCTTTCTACTGTATAATTGAAGAATAAATGAATTTGTTCGAGTGATATCTCGTGATTCTGAAATCTGTGATTCATTTTACTTTCTAAACTTTTCTTTGTCTCAATAAAAAATTTATTAAAATATCGAATCTGTTGTTTTCCTTTTGTTACCCTGAATGAACCAAGATAATTCATCCTGTGGTATCTGTTATTGAGATTAGGGATCATAATTAAATGTATCTCTAATTGTACAAAAATGGTTTTTATTTGAATGATATATGAAATGTAATATGAATCGAGTAATAAATCATGAAATAGTAAGTGAAACATAATGCCAAATATACAGATGTATATTGAACACCTAAATTACAATTATTAATGGATCTTATATACATATACAAAAACTACTGAACAATTCCTTACATATTATCGTCATTTGTATAACCTGTTTTGAATAGTTATGTTTTTAAATGTAAGGCGTGAATTGATGCATAAATTTACTCTGTCCATTTGATAGAACATGTACATTATATATGTATACATACATTCTTACATATGTACACTTACACTCATTTTAAACTTTGCCTTTTCTTTTTTTCTTTGCAATACAAAGAGAATATCGTACATTTTAGTATGATTAGATTTTAGATCGAAACGTTATCACGTCTTGGTTATACAATTGTTTCGATAGGTTAAGGGACGGACTAGCAGCTTGACCACAAAATTCTGTGCTAGAACGTATTACCATTTAATACAACTTTTTGAGAAAAAACATTACACTTGAAAGACAAATAATACTGGTACATTTAATAGATGTTTTATGCAGTTTGGTCAAGTGTAAAAGTTTATCAAGTAAGGACTAACATATCTTGGATCTTTATGAATATATTCTTGATCATTATAGATTTGCTTATTAATATCAAAAAACAAGATATGATTTGTTAATTTAACATCATATCTTTTTACACACAGTGTAAAATCAGAGCAATGATTAATCTCCTCGTGGTCTAATGGCTAAGGAAAAAAACTTCATCATTCTGTGATGTTCAATCGGGTCAAACACAATTATGTATATTTAACTTTCTTATGAAAGCTTTCTCTTTTACTGTCTTGAAAAACATTGAACTACATTTTGGGGTCTGCCGCCTGCAACTTTAAACGCAAGTGCAGTTGTTATCATAAGAACAACATAAGCGGATAAAGTGGTAGCTATATAAGCTTGGTATACATTTAACAAGGTCATACATGATACAAACAAGTGTGAACCAACAACCCAAATCACTTGTCCCCAATTTTTTCTATCAAGGGCAGAGAAAAATACAACACCCCAAAATGTATGTAACAAGATAAAGCAAAGTGTTGTAGCCGCTGATATTATAAAAAAGTACTCTGTGCCTTGTCGAAGTCCCATTGTTCCAGGTCCAACAGCATCTGCCAGCACATTGACTAGTGCAAAGACACCACTCATAAAACCAAAACCCAAACCACATACATATGCGAACACATGTCTGCTATCTGCTACATGTGTTGTTGTTACTTTGTCTAATCCTCTCTCAGCTTTCCTCAGTACCCAGTACAAGAGGTACCTGTACAAAAACAACAAGAATATCAAAATATATAATCTTTCAAAGCTTTCAAAGGAAAGAAACATATGCAAAATATTGTGTTTTAACGGAGAATATAAATTTCTATATTTAATCACCTGAATGCCTCTTGAAATAATACGGAAAATATAAGTCCAAACGCGAGGTGATTTTGTAGTGGCACCACAGCATACCAGAGCACCGACGACAATAATAAAGAAATTAACCAAAAGAAGGCACTGGCTATTAGTATGATGATTCTAATGGGTTCGGCTGCGACAGTGAATGTAAACATGGCCAACGGCGGGCCAAATGCCAAAAAGGCACAACCAAAAAAATCCATAACTGTCATTTTTGCCGCAAAATAATGTCAGATCACTTTCGATGTTTTTTCTTTTTATCACGCTGATCGGATCTCTTTGAAATGCTAAATATTCATAACCTTATGTAGCCCTCGCGCGGCTAGGTCAGTACTTCTTGAAGGGCACATTTATTTCCCCTGTTGATTGTAGAAATATAGAAAATGCGATAATAATGGAGTCGGAAACGAACGAATCACTATAATGATGAAATCACTTGGCACACTCTCCACCGAATCTTCCTCAAAAAATGTAAACTCGATAGACGATTTCGATATGTATATATACATATCGATAGATTTTTTAATCGTTGAGATTATCATGAGAATCGTCTCGGCGAATATTCATGAAACGTTTTGATAAGACTCCCTCGATGAAAACTACCTTAATTGACTCTTACGAATTCTTCGCTTATACATGTTACACGATCTTCAATAGAAAAAATCCTCGGAATTTTATATTTTTTAAACTTCAAATGATCTTCTTAATAACTCTTGAATTTGTATTTATCAGTAATAGCATAATTTAAAATATCGTGTTAGTTAAATCTTGCAACTAAAATTGAAATCCGCGCCACAAATGTTAGAACAGATCTGCAACTATATTCATGGCATATCAAGATAGATACACAACAAAATATATAATCGGAATTAATTATTTAAAAGTGAAAGCGCAAGTGAAACTTAGATAGGCAAATAATTATTCTTATTAAGAATATCATAATTTACATATAAAAATATATATCCTTTGTCCTTTAGTCTGTCATGAACGTCACAAAGGCAGGGCTCTTTGAACGTGCGCCACGTCACTGTCGACATCGATTATACTCTTATGAAATGATCGAGCTCTCGCGCACTTCTTCTCAGTACTGTCTGTGTACATTCGCTCAGCTGTTCTCTGGCCCGAAGCAATCGCGATTCGTCCGATTGCACAAATTTTCGAAGCTTTGGAGTTTATTTTTAGTATCAGTGCCATGTCGTTTTGGTACGATCCTCGTGGATTTTTGCTGCGTAAGAGCACGTTGCACATTCTCTGATTTGGTCGATATGAGAAAACGTTTTCTTCATTGACAGACCTCGTTCGCCAGTCACCACGGACATCAGAAATTTGACATTAATACGGGATCGATGCGCACCGAAAATTGACGTTTAATTTCGATCGTAACGCTTAAAAACCAATCATGAAGAAAACACGCTCAAACATATTTCGTGACATTTATTACCAGCCGTACAATGATTATACCAGATTGAAGCTTTACTCCAGCAGTAAAGGTATTTCGTGTTATGCTTTTCAAGCGAGAATTTGACAATGTTACTGTACAGTGTAGTATGATGTAAAATATCAAGATGTTTGCTCTTTTATTTCCACAATGAGAAAGGGAATTATTAAATATGTTTAGAAATCGTATGATCTTGCATTTCACTGGAATGTTTCATAAACTGTAATGACTTGTAATAGATTCTTCTAGATTTAGTTTTTTTTTCATAAAAATAATTGACGAGATATAAAATGATTGTATTTGACAAGTAGCTTGAAATTTGAAATGCTTCGTATATGTGCATTTTAGCAAGCCTTCAAATGATGCAACGTATGGCATTATTGAAACGATTAAAAGTTCATAATGGTTGTGTAAACTCTGTGTGTTGGAACTCTACTGGAGAACTGATATTGTCTGGTAGCGACGACCAGCATCTTGTTCTTACAAATGCTTATAATTATGAGGTAAGTACTTCACTGTCATTGATTCGTTATGTTGTGTTCAATTGAATCAGGAGCTTGTCCAAGACTGCTGCTGCAATTAATTAATTTTATTATTACAATAAAACAAATAATCTTAATTTGTTATTGATCAGTTTGTTTAATTGATAATTTTTGTTTTATTTGATAATTTTTGCGCAGAAAGATTCAAGCTATAAATAAATTTATATATTTGTTGCATTAAAATACTTTTTATTTTATGATATGCATGTGTTAATTTTACCTATATTTGTATATCTTGTAAAGTTCCGTGCCAAGGTTATTTATATTTTCACCCTTGACAAAGCAATTTAAGACTCACACATGTGTTTCTTTCTGAGTTTTAATATTGAGTTCTTGTTCATTTATTAATAAGAAATAAGTAGTTTTGCATTTTTTATCTGATAATATTAAATTTGTCAGTATTATTATATTATGACAGTGCTATAAATATATCTGAATACCTATAATACACATCATAGGATAAAATTATTTCTCATATATCATGTTAATATCTATCAAATGTGTCATGATTTATTTACAAAAAATCTGTTACATAAGAATAAGTGGAAGCAAGATTTAGTAAAAAGAAGTGCACTTAAGGGAATATCATTGGCAATAATCCTTTTTCAAGGAAATGTCATAGATAGTTTAATTCTAGTCAAGGTCTAACATTGACATAGATAGAAATGCAGTAGCTCTGCCAAATGAACAAAAACCCTTGTGTGTAATACATGTATGCTAATTTTATCATTTAGAACCATCAATCTAGAACTATCTCACTAATTAAATAGGATAAGATATATATATTTACTGCTGTAGGGAAGTGAACATAAACAAAAACAATAAATTTCATTTATTTGCAGGTATTAACAGACTATAAGACCAGTCATAGAGCAAATATATTTAGTGCAAAATTTTTGCCTAATAGTTGTGATCATCGGATAGTTTCTTGTAGTGGTGATGGCATTATTTTGTATACAGGTGAAAATTCAATGATCTTCGATTAAACCCGGCGATACGCTGGCGTAATGTAATGATTCATAACAGCAGAACTTTGGTTACAGATTTACTAAGAGGAACGAAAACATTTAATAATCAATTTAATTGTCATGTCGGTACTACGTACGAAATAGCGACAATACCTGGTGAACCGTATAATTTTTTAAGCTGTGGAGAAGACGGTACTGTAAGATGGTTTGATCTTAGAATAAAGGACAAGTGTAATGCCTCAAGGTGTATGGAGGATGTGTTAGTTTCTTGTGAAAGAGCTGTAACTGCTCTGTCTGTAAATCTTGCTTCACCTCATCAAATAGCAATAGGTTGTTCTGATGGTACTGTTAGAATACTTGATAGAAGAACACTTGGAACTCCAGCTACTGGTAACTGGAGTATTTAACGTAATGAAAGAATCCAAAAATTGAAAAGCAATTGAAACATGCATCTAAACAATTTTGCAGGGTGGACAGATACACCTGGAGCGGTGAAGGCCTTATGCACTTTCACAGTGCCGGAATTCGAAGGGAATTCTTACAGAATAACATCTTTGAATTATAGCCCAGATGGGCAGGATGTTCTTGTTAGTTATAGCAGCGATCATCTTTATCTGTTTAATGTAAAGGTAAGAAAAACATTTTCCTTTCACAGAAATATATGCAGGTACAAAATCGATCGGTTTATTTAGGACCAAGCTAGTGTACAGTTAAAGAAAGACGTCGCAGTTAGAAAAGGTGAAAGTAAGAAGCAAAGATTACGCTCGCCACTACCAGTGCGTAGATTAAGACTTCGAGGAGATTGGTCCGATACTGGCCCCGATGCTCGGCCTGAATGCGAGGGCGGTCGACGTAGTGGTACAGGTATATGAAAATTAAATGTCTGCTATTTTTAATTTGACGATACAACAACATGCACACTTATTTCCTTGCATTCTAGAAATTGCTCAAGCCAGACCTGTTCTTCAAACTTCATTGATGCAAAGAATGACGGATGTTCTCAGTAGAATGTTGAATGATCCAGCCACTAGAGCTGCATTATGCGGCGGCGGCGAAGATAGTTTAGAAGGCGTGATCGATCAACAAGATAACACTCAAAATACCAATGAAAACGTTACGGAGTCAAATGAAGAGAGACAAGACAACGAAACTGAAAGAGTTGAAAGACCTCTGACTGAGGCTAATCAAGAAAGAGGTATTTTTTTAGATTGTGTTGTACATGAAGTTATTTGTTGGTCTCTATCGAATTATCGGACTAATGCGGATAACTCATAGCTGTTCCAGAACAACAGATTGACAGTTTAGAAAGTCCAGGTACTAGCGGTACACAGAGTAAACCTGGGACGAGTTTTTCTGCAGAAACGAAAGAAGAAATGTCCAGTGAAACCATGCCTTCGAATCAAATGACCGACGGGAGTTCGTCGCCAGTCGAATCCAAATCACATGTTCCTATGGAAACTGAATCTAGTCATGTAGAAACGGAACTTTGTTCTGTTCAACCGTGTTCATCGCGTACTATCGATAAGACTAATGATCTACCGGAAGATGATCAAAGTAGCAATGATGATTCTCCTTGTAGCAGTATGGAGACTAAACAAGAAGGTCACATGATGGAAAACCTTCAAGATAGACTGACGAAAATGAGAGTCGGATTCCTTGAAAAGTATGATATCCAAGAAAGAGTAATATTAAATGAATTCATACTTCAGCAAATGGAATGTTTTTATTCGTTTACATTTTACTTACAGGCATGGTAGTGAACCTGCTGTAAGTTTAACTTATACGGATAAAAGTTCAACAAGTGCAACGATATCTCTTGGTGTAGCTGATGAGATGATCCGTGATGGTTATCATGCGGGTGAATATAAAATTATTTATTATTTATATTATTTTTTATTATTCGTACTATTTTATATTATTATACCACTTATGCACTATAGGACCATCTGGAAGTAGTGGAACATTCTCGGGCAGACATCATGACAAACATATACGATATAGTGATACGCAAGAAAGTAAGTAGATAGAGCATAAATAGACGGTGTTTTTCAGAAGATCAGAAATCAAATACGTTATCTTTTTGACAGAGACTGATGAAAGCGCTTTTAGTGATAGTGACGATGAAGATATACAAGCTGATGGAAGGTATATTATAAATATTGTTATAATTAGCAACAAAACGTTTTCGCGACGCAACATGAAATATTTGATTAAAAAGTTGTGTATGTGTTTTTTTTTAAATAATCCAGATTAGGAAGTTCAGCAGAAACAGAAATGGAAGAGGCCATGGGAGATGTTCGAATGCGCCGAGGATCAGTGAGTTTCGATAAAACATGTGCAACGGAGCTTCGTGTCAAGCAGAAATACATGGGACACCGTAACGCTAGGTATACTGCTATCTTTTTTTTTTTTCATTGTTGTAACTTCAATGTGGTGGTCGCCAACGATTAACGCAATTCACGCGAAACAAATGACGAAATCTTGAGAAGGCTATATATGATTGAATCTTGTGACTAAATGATTAACATGAAATCTGTTGCAATCGAGATCTCTTTAATCGGCTAAAATGTTAGATAATAATCAACAAGGGTAACGTCGTAGAAAAAAAAAAACAGTAGTAGAATTTTGTTAAAACACCAATTCTATTTGGCGAGTTTGGTTTTTTGAAAACCTTCATCTTCATGTACGCAGTGTTTTAACGTTTGTACTCAATGTGTCCGTGCAATGATGTTTTGAGTTCCTGTCGGAAACCATAATTGTTGACACGCTTTGAATTCCGAAAAAGCCTTCGAACGGTGTGGCATATATCGTATAAGGCCGCCATATTTTCTGATCTTGGTTGGTCTTCCCCTCCGTTTGACTCTAGTTTCTTTAGGACCATGATTAAAGAAGCAAACTTTTGGGGCAACGATTTCGTCATGTCGGGTAGCGATTGCGGCCACGTGTTCGTGTGGGAGAAAGACACGGCGAAATTGTGTATGTTACTGGAAGCAGATCAACACGTCGTTAACTGTTTGCAACCACATCCGTATTTGCCGCTGCTCGCAACAGCTGGCATTGATTACGACGTTAAATTATGGGCACCGATAAACGTGGAGTCCAGTTTTGATGAAAAGTTTGCAGAAGATGTAAGTCCTTGTGTGTTATTCATCATTTAATACATATGGTGGAATATACAAGAGTAATGAAATACACGTGCAATTTACAGCTGAAAAAGAGGAACGCAGTCATGTTGGAAGAGACGAAAGACACAATGACTGTACCGGCTGTATTTATGATCAGAATGCTGGCATGTCTGAATCAGATACGCAGAGGTAGTGAAAACTTATAATACTTTCCAAGATTTTCCGATAGTACGCTACATTAGTATGACCAACGTAATTAAGAGTAAAGTACTGAAGAAATTCGGCTGCTTTTCCCGTTTAACGTGCAGGTATCGGAGTAAATAACGATGTACAGAGTTTTTATCTAACAGCTTCTTTTTATTCACATTTGTGAACTTGTCCATAGTTTTTGTAATTCCACCATTACGTCCATGAATTTTCATCATACTCTATTCTGTTTTTTTTAATGTACATTTTTTTTTTTTTTTTTTTTTTTTTTTTTTTTTTTTTTTTTTTTTTTTTTTAAGAAATTCTAAGATATCTATATATAGATGTAGGGGGCTTGTTTACAAATTCTATGTTACATTATTCTAATTCTATGTTATTTAAAAAGCGAAAAAGAAATTTAATAGAGAAGGATGAAATGAAGTACAGTCTTAGAGGCTAAAAAAATAAAAAGAAGGAAAAAATAACAGAAAAGTTGACGGTAAAAAAAGTATGACCTAACCGATAACAATATTAAAAGGATGACATAGTAATGAAGTATGACGGTGAATATGACGTAAACGATAATAGTACTAATAAAGATGAAAAAAAAGTTTTGTAATTTTCTATGTAGATAAGAAATTTTCATATGTATACAAGAAAGAGAACGAGAGAGGACTAAACGTCGATTAAATGACATATGCATGTAATGTCATATCGGTATTTTATCATTGCGAATTATTGTAGCGATGAAAATAAAGTTTCTAATCAAAATACGAAATATCTTTAATATTGTGTGTTTTTCACCGTCGAGTGTTTTTTTCTTTCTCTTTTTTTTTCTAATCGTTGTAAGATTATCGCGAACGACAAACAATCGTGCTCCTCTACTCCAAAATAAAGTTTAAAACGGTATTAATTCTTTATATTGTAGCTAACGAACTAAGTCACGGTATGGACAGGTATTTCACGTAAATCTATCTCTACATATGTGTCTTTATCCAATATTAGATTAATACTAGCTAGCACGTAACGTATGTCGAACGAAACTTATGCAACATCATTGATTTTCCTCTCGTCATTCCTCCGTTGGCCATCTAGATGATTTCATCTAGAATTCTACCATTAAACCAATCAATGAAAATCATTTCTTTTCTTTATTTAAATGAAAGAACAGAAACAGTACGTCTGCAAAGTGTTACGCTCTCTCGAATGTCATATATGAATATTTATATACATTAAATTATGTAATCTACTTTTCTTTCCAAATACACGAGATCAGCATATTCATTCTTTTATTGGCGTTTTTTTTTTTTGTTTCGCGTGTTGTGCAAGACTGTGTTCGTTATGTTACAAGTAATAAAACAGGAGAAACGTTTTCCTTCGTAATTTTATGTCTCTTCAGGCTATCATTCTATAGTTTATTATAATTTATTAATAATGTTATTTTATTTTGTCCTTTTCGTTCACACGAATAGATCACCAGAAGAACACTCGACGCAGCACGCCGCGTTTAGCTCGTTCCGGTCATTTGTACGCGTCAGTGAATGTAGTTTATCGTTAGATTATCATCCACTGGTTGAAACAAGATATTACAGAATGATTCCGGTTCTTTTGTAGGACGCGGTCGGAACCGGAGGAGGAACGGCGACGAGACCGGCGAATTACGAGGTGGCTAAGCTGTTTCCGGCGATACTGTCGTCTGTGAAGATCTGAGAATTCAATTGGGACAATCTTTACTGCGACGCCGGCTGATCAGAGTTCGAGTTTGTCCTCAAACTAAAAAAAAAAAAGAAAAAAAAATCAAACAAAGAAAAAACGACAAAAAAAGAGAAAAAGAACAGAAACAGAAGAGAAACAGAAAACAACAAAAAAAAAAAAATCCGTATATTTATGATTTACCATTGCAACAGTAATTAACTGTTAATTTAAGTATATTTAACCTATGATAAGCTTTGCGTATCATATCGTATTATTAGAGCAAGAAAGATAAGCCGAGATTCTTTTTTCTTTTTATTCTCTGTCGCTTCTTTTCTTTTGGCTCTGTTCGTACAGCGTGTACGAATGTTGTTTCGTGTAATGTAATTGTTTCTCCAGTCATTCGAACATATAAAGTTTTTTGGTTTGGAGAGGGAAATACAACAAGGTTGGATATTTTGGATATTTTATACTGGACTTTGGTGTCAGGTTCGGTTCTATAATTGGAATCTATATATATGTAATATATACACGTTATTTAGGATGCAAGTAAAGTGCACTTGTTGATTAACTATTTATCTCACACACACGTGTTTCTCCGATAATGTTACGCCGTTGCAATTAATTAATAATTAATCAGGAATGCACTTTATTCGCCCTCCCGGTAAACGAGCCTTAGACTGCACAATAAGAAGATGTATGTAATATAAATTATGAATATCAGGGTTCCATGAACCTGAACCTGACACTCCGTCTTCCTCGCCAAATTGAACAACTTTATATTGGCGAATTTTTTTTCCGAAACAGTTACGTGTTAATTTTAAATTGAACGTTCACCTGTACCCTCTTCGTTGTTGTCTAATTGATGATACGCAATTCAATGATCAAAACTATTGTACGTGCCTGTTGTCACGATTGTGTAACACTTGTGTCTCCATTTTCTTTGTTTCCTTTTGCCGTGTGAAGTAACGAAGCTTAACGAAGATTAATCGATTTTTTGAGATAACTTATTGACACGTAGAGAAACGTAGGCAGCCGCTAAGTTTGTAGAGATTCGTTCGATAATAGGAACGCTTGCGACATAGAGACGCTTGCAATTGGCGGATGGACGAACGTCGAGCATCGCCTTTTCTTTTTTTTTTTTTTGGAGAAATGATGTTCAGACATTCGAAGGAGGGAAGGAGGGAAGGGAACGTCGTTGTAGGATACCACGATGTATCGATTCAAAGAATTTATTTATAATAAAAGTTCTGAAAAACGCAAACTTATCTTTGTGTTCTTCTCCGTACATCTTGTCAGCTGTTCCACGTGTTTTTGACAATATAGTCTCTCAATCGTCTCAGCCGTCGAAAATATATGTGCGAAAGACTTAACTTAATAAAGAGAGCATGAGGGTGAGGGACGGGACCTGAAACGTAAGCGGAAAAAATAAAACGAAAGGCGAGGTTTCGTTCAACAACAGAGTCTAATTTAATAACAAAATATGAACGCTGCATTTGTAATAAAATTAACCGCAATCGTAATAATCGTTAAAATAATAATAATAATAATAATAATAAAATAATAATAACTATGGCGACGTACATAATCGGTCGAGATAACCATTTAATTAACATAGGTAACAAATCCTATCGCCGAAGGGAACGAAGCGTACGAGACGTAGATCGCGTTACAAATTACGATTACGAACGAACCGACAGTTCAAAGGGGAAAGAAAAAATATTCGTCGTCGTGTGAAACGTGTGTTCGAGACGTGGTGAAACGAGATCCCAGCAAATACCAGAAATAAGAATACGTGTATATACGTGACTGACGTTACTGCGCAAAATGTATTTATATACTTCAACGAAACTACTTCGACAACTTCGATAATGTTTAATAAATCACTTCTTTTCTTTTTTTTTTTTCTTACAACACGTGTACATATATAGATATCGATAAAAGTAATGGATTGGAATAGATAACAATGTAAATACGTCATCGAAGAATTCAACGATTGGATAAAGATCGGATGTTGTTTGCTGGGGTCTGTTCGAAGTGTGATCGACGAACAAACAAGGAGCGAAGAAATATATCGATTGAGAAATAACGAATGTATGATGGAAAAAGAAAGAAACGTGAAACGCGACGATTACACCTTATCTGCCGCTCGTTGAAAATCTGTGTTTGCCTGTCAATCACTTAAATTCGAACGTGTGTCTTTAAATATTTGCCAGCGTGTTTGGTGAACTATGCCGAGTCACATTATTAATCAGGGGAATCTTCTTCGGATATATTCAGACGTTGAGTTATATGAAAACGTTACAAACGTCATTTGCAAAAATAACAAATGTTAAGAGAGATAATGAAAAAGTTTCAGGGAAAATTTTGTTACTTAATTTCGTCAAGCAGAATAATTATATTAATTCTTCTGGCAAATCTGCTTGTATTTCTCTAATCTCTAAAGAGCCTCTCAAAGTCTGAAGGAAATCTGATAAAGTTCTTATTGCTTTTAATTGAGTTTCATGTTTCTATCGGTTCTTAGTATCGTGATTCAGCACATTGTGAATTCCTTTGAAGTAGACTTTGAAGCGTAAAACATTTGAGGATCGTAGCAGGAATAAATACGACAGAAATCAATATTTGGAAAACAGTTTAGTCAATTAAAACATTAACACTACAACGACTAATATATAGCCATTTATAAAATGAACTTATAAAACATGATTTTTCGTCGCGTTTAAAGAAATTTCGATCAATATCTAGTTACGAATCGGCGAAAAGTAAGAGGTAAATGAAGTGATAAATAATGTAAATAAATGAGTATGCAAACGAACACGTGTACATCAAAACATTATTACAATTCATTTTTCAGTAATGAAAACCACATTGACGCTGCAGCAACGTCGCCGGTCGTTATAGTGTTAACTGATCGATTAACAAAAATCGTTGTGTCTTCCAGGGTAGTTAAGTCGAAATAAAGGGCAAGCGTTTGGTACGAAAGCGGCAACAAACAACAGTAATGTCAACAACGGTAAACAATCATTTAACAAAATGCATCGTTTCGCAAGAACACAGCACGCACGACGAAGAAATTAAAACCGAGGACAATCGGATGAGAAGCTAAATGATTCGTCAAAACGAGCGACAGACGAGGGAGATACGTGGTAACGATGCAAGAACCGGAAGTGTACGAACGGGAACGGGTGTGTATTTCCTTGTTTTATTTCTCTGAACATTAGGACAAAATTGTAATCAATCGCTTATCCGTTTACCGTAAATCCAATAATGTCTGTAATAATGAATTAGCGTTATATTAAATGTACCGATGAGAGATTTTTTTTTTCTTTTTCTTTTAACAACTCGCACACTTGCTACCCCTTTCGCTCTCTCTCTCTTTCTCTCTCTATACGACGCTCTTTCATTTCACTCTCTCACTCTCACACTCGCTCTAACGTGTACTCTCACGCATTCTCACGTTGATTCTCGTTCCTTCTTCTCTTCTTCTCTTCTCTTCTCGGTCGGCGTTGCCCGCCAACGTGAAGCCTACGACGAACGATCGACGTTCCATCCACAATACGGATCGGAGATCGAGATTCAAATCGTCGAGATCATTTCCAAAAAGCTGAGCTTCGTGGAAATGGTAGCTCCCTATCTCTTTCGCGAAACGTCGAAACTCGTCGCTTTTTTTTTTAAACACGCGACACCGGACGGAGCGCAGAAACCGGAAGCAGAAGACTCGATCAGCGATCGTCTCGCGTCGTCCGAGTCATCGATCCCTCGGTCATCGATCGTCGCGTGACTCGACGATTTTTTCGTTCACGGTAACGGAGCGCGAGTGAAGAGAGAACGTGAGCTAATAGAACCGAGAGATTAGATTATTTTATCGTAAGTGCGTGATATTTCTGTAGCGATGATCTACAGTTGAGATCAAGGTCGGTATCGAAAATGAGAGTGAATCGTAAATGAGAAATCGAGGACAACAGGCGTAAAAGTCGTAGAGTTTATGTATTTTGCGTGTCGTTGAAGATAAAAATGTGCAATAATTTATTCTACAATCGTTTATTTGAGTTTCAATTATTAGAGGAGTTTCTTTTTAGAAAAGAATATATATATATATATATATATATATATATATATATATATACGCTATGTTTCACCAATTTTTCTATTTCTCGTCCCGCGGAGTTTCCGGCTCAACTCTAATCTAGATTCTTAAGTTCTCAAGTTCCTCGTCGAATTACGGAATTTATACGAGGGCAAACTGTAATAGAAAGTTGTGGCAAGTAATTCTAATTTAAGCAAAGAAAACTGACGATCCAGAAGATCGATGGTCGAATAATTAATACATTGATATACGCGAGAGGATCGAGAATTAATAGAACTTCTCGAAAACTCTTCTTTTCCCAGTGTAAAAATTCGCTATCTTCCACTAAATTCTATGGAATTTATCTTCGAATTTTTTTTTACTTAGAAAATAGCGTATTTTTCGGGGAAAAATTTCTCTCTCTCTCTCTCTCTCTCTCTCTCTCTCTGTCCGGTGTCCACGAATTTTCTTTTGTTTCATTCTTTTTTTCTCTTTCTCACTCTGTCACTCTCTCTCTCTCTCTCTCTCTCTCTCTCTCTCTCTCTCATTCTCTCTCTTTTTCTGCTCTCTTCATCGCAACGCTCAAGAAGTAAAAACACGAATGTCGCGCGGAATTTCGCCATCGCAGATTGCACGTGAATAATTCCTCTAAAATGCGCGTGACGGTAATCATAGTAACAATAACAATGACAATATAATAATGATGACAGTAATAATAATGACAATAATATCAATAAGAATAGTAGTGAACGTTTACAATCTATTACATATCATAATCTTTTTTTTTTTTTTTTTTTGGGTTTTTTTTCGGTTCACTTTTCTCGTGAATCTCGATTTTTTTTTTTTTTCATTTTTAGCATTTTCTCGTTTTAGTCGGAGGGGACGTCGCTCAAGATTTTATTCGAGGCACAGTTGGATCGCACGTCCGTTAAATAGAATTCGTATCTCTCCATTTTTTTTCTTTTTTTCGCTCTTTCACTACGTATTTTTTTTTTTTTTTTCACTATTTTTTTCTTCAACGCACGGTCCATCCATCGCGGAAAATCAACGGAGGACCTTCGTCGAATTCGTTCCGTATTTTCTC